GGGAAATACACGTTTCAGATATTGAAAATTGGGGTGACCCATTCTATAATGCCATAAAAATATTTCACTTATCTTCGGGACAAAAGCGGAATCGCAACTAGCAAATTGACGTTGTTTACTTGCATCAACCTCTTCAAAGTAATAGAGTCCCCCACACTCCTTAACCTTGACAATCGTCTTCCCCGACGATAGATCCTGAAAAACACAGTGAGAAGGGAAAAAATTAGCAGAACAATTGGATTTTTTAGTCAATTGACTAATGGACAATAAATTACAAGACAATTTTGGGACATGTAGAACAGATTCAAGTGTTATCAAATAGGAAATTCGAATACTCCCTTTTCCTGCAACAGGTGAAAGTGAGCCATCTGCAATTTTGACTTTGAGGTCACCAGCACATGGTGAATATGTGGTAAACAGGTGGTAAGCGTCTGTCATGTGATCTGACGCACCAAAGTCAATTATCCAGGGAACTTTGGATTGAGCGGCAGTGTTTAGGGCCTTTAGAAACCCATCTGTGTGGGCCAAGGAATTTGATGGGGTAGGAATGAATACATGGGCTGACCTATTGGGCCCAATAAATTTGGACCCATTTATCGTTCTTTGTGAATTAACATCCATTCCATCTAGCCCAAATTTATTAGGCCTAATAGCATCTGCTAAACATGCCAAGACTCCATTACCAGGTGGCCCAATTGATTTATTAGGCCCAAAACATGCCAAGACATTAACTCCAGACGGCCCAGTTTCTCTGTAATTCTCGTCGGCCTTCCTTTATCGATGTTCTTGATCGATCTTCTGTGGGAGTTGGACTGGACGTGCGCCAGATGGAGAGGACCCATGGGTTGACTGGACGTAGCCGGAATTTGAAAGGTTTAGGCATCTCTTCGCACCTTTCGCGACTGTGAACTGTTGTGTGATTGATTCAGAGTAGTGATTTGTTGTTTGGAACGAATTGAAGACATGGTTGGAGTCGCCTGAGGTTGGGCAGTCGACCGGTGGGAAGTTCCGATCACGGTGGTGGCCGGCGGTGACGATTCCGGCAGTTTTACCATTTTCGGGAAGCTCGTTGTCTGAATTGATTCCGGCCAAAAGGTAGGCTTTTTTAACTGAGGGTTTTTTCATCGTGACTTTGCCGAGTTTAGAATTACTCTGGCTCTGATACCATATTAGCAGAAATGTAAGAAATGATGATGAATTATTTCTGTATATTCCTCAATTAATTATTACAATACAATGAATCCAATTTATAATAATTTCTAATCTAAGAAAAGAAAAAGTTTCCTAATCTAAATAAGGTAAGCAATCAATAAC